ATCCCTCCCGGCCGCCCCCCCCACCTGCTGCTCCCGGCGCTGCCGCTCCTCAAACCGGGACCGGCGGCTCTGCGGCTCCTCGGGGACAAGCGGGGGGTCCCTCAGCGGCCCGAGGGGGGCTCGGTGACCCCCCCGGCACCGCGCCGAGGGGCTGGTTTTTTTTGGGGGGGGGGTCTTTGTTTGCCGCACCCCCCAGCCCGGCCCGCAAGATGCCGGACGCGTTCAGCCCATCGCTCCGCGGCGCTGCGGGTGGGGGGTCCGGCGGGTTTTGGGGGGGCTCCGGTGGCAGCACGGGGAGGGGGGGACACCCCCAATTCGGGCCGTGCCCAGGCCGGCGGAGGCTCCGGCGGCGCGGCAGGCGCAGGCGCCGAGAGAGAAGCGCTGCCCCTGCCGATGATGCCGTAAAGAGATCCCGGAAGGTTGTGGGGTCGCGGGGGGAGATTTGGGGGAGCGCAGGGCACGGGGGGTCCGGGCAGTGTCGGGGGGGGCACTGCACGAGACCCCTGTCACCCCCAAATCCCGGCGATGGGGCAGCAATGGGTGGATACGGGGAAGCGGGGTGGGGGGCCAGGCTCTCGCAGAGTGGGTGTCCCCACTTTGGGGACCCCCATGCCCTGCCCAGGGTCACCCCAGGGGGTTGGGGGGGGGTCCTCACGGTGATGATCGCCCCCCCAGCCCCGTGCCGGAGCCTCCCCCGTGGGGTGTCACGGGGGTCCCGGGGGTGCTGGGGACCCCCAGGAGCGGCTCAGCCCAGCGCTGGGGACAGCCCTTCATTTGGGGAGGGGACATGGTGGCACCGGGGCCCAGCAGGGCACAGCCCCCCACCCTGCAGGGCCGCCGGGGGGCTAAGGGGGGGTCACCCCAACCCCCCAGTGCCCCCCGCGGGACTCGGGGTGCCCCGTGCCGCTGTCCCCGTGTCCCGGGGGCTCGGGGGGTGCTGGCTCTGATGGTGGTGCCCGACCCTCCGGCCATGACCCCATGGCCCCCCCAGACCCCACCCCCGACCCTGTCTCGGTGTCCCCAAAGCCCCGACACGATACCTCCAGAGC